ATTTTAAAATGCTTTTCTTGCATATCTAGCCCTGGCCACCTATACCATGTTTAAAAAAAATAAAACCGTATAAAACAATTTGTTGTGACGGGCTATAAATAATTGTAATAACGAGAAATAGTTCATAAAGTATCATACATTTCTTTGTAACACTATATGTAGGTACAATATATGAGCTATTTCACTTGCCCTATAGACCGTTAGGTTTAAATAAACCGGGAGTGATCTCCCCTAAACTTTCTCGAATATTCTAATATAACACTACGGGGGATGGCATCTCGGGATATAGACTTCTAGACATGATTTTTAATCCATTTTAAATACTCAAACTTTTTAAAATAGAATATAATCTCGTAGAAAAAAGAATTGCACACCAAATAAAGATGTGCATAATAGTGCGCATAATTATTAGTACTTTATAAATTTACATGCGTTTTTTGAGAAATCGGAAATAGCGTATATAAGTACTTCCAGTCAACGGAAATGACTCAAAATGTGACAGAAGGTAGAAAATTAGATCTTTTACTTACATATCGAATTTCATTTATCTATCTGAAATAGTACGCAAGTTATAGGCTTTTGAAAAATTCAAAGTAGAAAAGTATCACTTTCGGTTATCGGAAATCGCTCAAAAGTTTATACGGATCTACGATTTTGATAAAATACTTATATATGAAATTTCATCAACCTAGCTGTATTGGTAATCAAGTTATCATGTTTACACACAGACACACACACAGACAGACAGAAACACAGTCATACGGACAAGATTGCAAAATTATGTTTTTCCGTATCAGTGAGGTGTAAAACGTCGAGATTTGCAAAAAATCTCGATTTTTTTGCACGATTACAAGACTTACTCTATACTTCGTATATAAGAGAAAGTAAAAAAGTGAACTTTACTTATTTAGGCTATTTATTACAATTTTCTCTTTTTTTTCTCCTCAATGCGATAGAGATTAAAAACGTATCTAAATGTGATCATCTCTGCTGTTTAATTTTTATTTATTTATCTGGAATTAAAAAATTAAGAATCTGGATAATTGAATCAATGTTAAACGTGTAAATTTTAGCTTAACAATAAAACATTGTGTAGTGGCCTACCGTTTCTCTAATGCATGCCCCTCTGTAACACGAACGTAGCTGCCATAGTGCTCACGTGTGAGGGCGCAATAGTGGTCACGAGTGAGGGTGATATACTGCTCACGTGTGAGGGTGATATACTGCTCACGTGTGAGGGGGTCATAGCGCTCACATGTGAGGGAGCTCCTGGTAACCCGACCACTGTGATGACAGCGAATGCGCCTTGAACTGTAGGACCCTTGAGTCAAGTAGTATCAATGTTTCAACTTGCAGTACGCCCAATCAACAGATCACAAGAGCTGAGATAGCCACTGGGAAACTCTGGCCACTACTTTGACCCTGCTATATGGGCGTGGCCATACGAACGTTTTATTTTATTGCAGAAACCTTCCCAGAGAATTGTCAAAAAGTTTCATGGCCTTTGGATGAAAGGTGTAATTGGGAAGAATTTTTTTTGCCATTAAATTTAATTACCGGGGCAGATTCAAGTTTTAAAAAACATCATGGAATAAATTGTTGAACTGGTGTGTATTGTTTGAGTCTTTGATGAATGTCTTAGATAAACAATGTGTCTGTGCAGGCATTGGACAGACAAACATCTTGCCTGTTTTGTGGTCAGCACCAATGTTAAAGTGTGGTCAACCACATGTGTTATGGGAGCTAGCCACACGTTTGATGTCTGTACAACCAATTTTTTATATGAGGTTAAATACACGTATAACGTGTGGTTGATCACACGTTTAATATCTAGTCAACTACAAACATATAACTAATACGTTAATTTTTACAGGCAAGCTGGTCAAAAGTATATAACCACATACGCTTGATTTGTGCAATGGTTTCTCGCTTTATGTTTATTTTTATGATTTTTTTGTGTTGATATTATTATTGTTTTTTTTTAATTCGTTTTTAGAGATACATAATTTTTTTGTATGTCGTATTACGTCTAGTCTAGTTTTGTGCGATGATTATCTAGTCCTTGTCTAGAATTTAAATAGATAAAGTAAATTTTATAAGTTTAGGTCGGGAAAATTGTATTTTATAGATCTAGATTTCATAGAGTAGGCCTACGTAGATCTAAATCATATTTGAATGAAATAGTTCATTTCTTTATTTTATTCTAAACTCGGAAGATGAAGTCATTAGTTTCGTGCTCTTTGCTTAGTGAAAACATTAAGGGACTTCATTGTTAATTGCGTTCTTGTCCCAAGTATAAACACTTTTCCGGTTGTATTATTAAAACTGTTTTTCTACATTCGAATACGCCATTTTTTTTTTTTTCTTCTTTAATAAAATTATGGTTGAACATTCAAAACATCTAACATATTATTTTCAACAAAATTCCGCATCAAGTTCTACATATATCGCTGAAGATTCTGATGTGATATCCTGCGAAAATATTTTGCGGACAGAGAGAGAAGTGCGCGCATGGGCTTTTCTATGTTAGGATGTGTTAAAAATAGACGTATTAAGTAAACAAGTATAACCTTTCAGATGACAATTTTACAACTAATCATGTCATAGAAAGGACCACACGGCTGACCAATAATGAAAACCTAAACTAAGCACCGCGGCTGAAATCCTTTAAAGTTGTATAATGTAAAAATTAACTTTAAATTTTTTAACTGCGGTGATTATATTTATAATTCCTGAATATTCGGGTATCGATTTCTTTAAAACACTCAATGATTTGATACAAAAGTTTATTGTTTAAACGTTGATTTAATCATTCCCCTTTTTCAGAGTTTCTTCTAGGCAAATGAATTTTAATCGGTTTCTTATACATTTAAGTGGTACTTACATTGTTTCCTTGGTAATACTATATCTTAACTACATTTTCATTTATGTAAAAATTAAGATCTTATACTTAAATAACTTTTAATTTTTAAAATAATCGAATGGGGTAATTTACACAATTTAAGATTTCTAAAATAACGATAATGTAAGTACCATTTTATTTTGGCAAACGAAATTGTACACATATATGATTCACCGCAAGGATGGCCCAATCTACTGCTGGTGACACACTGCAAGGATGACCCAATATACTGCTGGTCACACACTTGTATCTGAGTTAGATAGGCACATTTTGATACTCAAAAAACTGTTTTATCATGAACGTTTCAATATTTGACAGCTTTACCGTAAGCGTTCAACAAAAGAAATTTACAACTGTCGCTGTTGAGGAACTCTATTTCATCTGTTCCATGTACAGTATACACTGTGACGGTAACAGTGTGTTGTACGTATCTTGTTGTCAATATAATTCGCTCTCTTATAAACTTTTTTTTCTCCTAACAACAAAGGAACTGCCTACATTTCAGGAACTGATGTACGCTAAAACATAGGAAAGTGATTTTAAAGAAAAGACTGCAACCAACCAATCAGGATGCTAAAATTAACTTAAGCTTATCCTAGAATGCGGACTATCTTTCAAAAATTTTAAACTTGTATTTTGCAAGCTGGCAGTTGGATGATTTGATTCAATGTTTTAAAGTCACACTAGTTGTTCTATCACTGCCGTTGTTTTATAATATCACAGTCAATGATTGTTAAAGGATTTCTAGTCAATTATAATGACAACAATGTTTACACAAATGTCAGTCATTGACAGCATCAAACTACCATTTTACTTTATATTTCTATTGGGGCAGGTCTAGAAGCGGCGAAGTAGGCTATATAAATATAGAACGTGATGTGTCAAATAATTTTTAAATGATTAGAATTCCACGTTTTTTTTTTAATTATCTCATTTTATTAGTCTTACCTGTGTATTAGACATAGACAAACGGACTTTGTTGTAAAGTTTAAACTTACAACCCATGACAGCCTGAAGCGAACATCGACATCACAACATGCACTGTTTAACAACAACTTAAACATCAAATGACAACAACTTAAACATCAAAAGACAACAAAGATTAAAATAACAACAATAGAAAAATATTTTTTCTTTTACCTTTTAATGTCGTTTAATGTAAAATTTTGTAAACAAATGTAACCAGTATGAATTTGACATTTTGTATGTAGGTTACATTTATACATTTAATTTACAGGCAATAGCCAGCCTATAGTCAAGCATAGGTATATGATAACAATTTGCCGACAAAAACTATAAGAAAAATATTTACAACATTTGAAACTAATAAATTGTAAAACCCACCAATGTACGTGCAAACTAATATGCTTAAACGGTTTACATCAATCAAAACATTTGTTTTAACCATTTAAATGTAATAAAATGTTTACAACACATGCAGGTCTTAACACAAACAGTTTAAAGATGGTAAAGGTTCCGCCATTTTGTTTGTTTACATTGTGTAGACAAGGGGAGAGAACCAACAGTTACATCAGTCCACATACTCCGCACTATAATTTCCTTCAGAGTTTGATCCACTGTGGGGATGGTGATATCGCCCGTCATATCCCGGCCTGTAGACAAACGCTCCACTGGAGCCTGGACATGTACATGTTGTGTACCAGTACCTGGTGTAGCCATCCCTTACATGTATGTGTGTCCATTGTCCTACAGAGACCTGTTTAGGACAGCCATGAGGATGGGACACTATACCGGTCAACTTGTCCACATCACCAAATCTCCTGTATGTGTCCATTACTTCCCTACATAGACGATCAAAGCGCCAACACATCTTGTCCAGTTCATCAACCAACTTTAAGTCACATGTCGCATAAGTCAACCAACACAAGTCTCTCTCAACGTGTGGCCCACCCCACACCCCCCAGCCTTCAAAACTGACCACTGGACTTTTATTGTCATCAAAACCTAAAACACACCTGGTCTGTCTCACCTCACTGTCATCAAAAACCACGTGTGTGGCAGTCACCACACGAACACCCCCCCCCCCCCTCCCCTCCTCACACTTTGCTGGGTGTGGCAGAGACTTGACACTTGGCACAACGGCAAGTTCTGTCCCTCTCTGTGTACTTGTACACACGCCACACCCTCCCCGTCCCGAACCTCATCACGTGACTTCCTCTGTCTTTATAACATGGATATGGAACTTGAGTGTCTAGGTAAAACTCTGGTCTCTCTAGACTGGTGAATTTAGTCTTTACCTGGACAGTTAGGGCTGCCAATGTTTTGATTGTCTCAGACATGAGGTCGTCATGGTAACGTGTGGGGAGACAACTTGCAGTGAAATCTTTAAGAGGTATAAACCTTTGTGACCTGGATTCTTCTTACAGCCAGTAACATGTTTGTGTAGATCAGCTTCTCCTCCATAGCACATCTCAGCTTCATGATTTCCTACAGGAACAAAGAACAAATTTTTTCTCTAGCAAAGGAAATGTCAGATTTAATGTTAAAATAACTTTTATTGGAATAAACTTTCCTAAAGTCATCTAGATTTTAAACTAGCACAGATATGTAATTGTTTACATTATATTAGCATTTTGCTATAGTATTTCTTACCTGGACAGAATACTCCTGGTTGGTCAATCATTATATGTTAATTTGAATTTCACAGCACGCCACAACTGAAACAATGTATACTTTAAATATTTATCCTGCAGTAGCACTTAATGACACAATTGCAAATTAAATATTAGAGTGTCAATATCACTTTTACAGACATACATTTCCACATTTTACTTTCTACTATGTATGTAATATTTAATTGCCCCTTGGTTAATATGTAGTTAATGTTTTTTTTTTAAATGGCCAATGAGAAAAAAAGGCCTATGTGCCGGCTGATACTTTTATGAAATGAAACTATTATTATAATTACATGTATTACATTAGTAGACAAATGTATTAACTGTAAAATAGCATAGATGATTTAAAAATTGTAAAATAAATTACTTGACCATTTATAAGTGAATTAAAATAAACTCTATTCTTACTTGAATTGGGTGACTCCAGTTTTCTTTTTGGTTTTCCGTAGAAATTGTCCCTGGCCGATATTGCGGTAATGTAAAATAAGCATCATTATAGAGAGGGAATAATCTTAAAAATTATCAATACCTTTAAAGATTTTTTTTATTTAAAATATATATATTATAGAAAATTAAAACTGTTAAAAATAGCAAAGTTGTAATAACTTTATTGTTTAAAGTATCATTTATCTTTGTAGCATTTTTTAAAAATATTAATGTAGACATCAAAACTCAGTCATTCTTGTCAAACAAATAAAAAATGTAAGTTGCTAAATTTTTCAACACTAAAATGTGGAGACTAAAATGATTCAGCTTGTACCTTGAATACAAACACATTTCAGTTCCCAAGAAATATTGTTAGAATAAACAAATAGCTGTTAGACTTTGTACTGAAGTATAACTCATATATTACATAATACATTTATATTAAATCATACAATTATTATTAAGAGTGTGATGAAAAAGGAAATTCACAAGGGTTGCTAATTTTTGTTTATAAATTATATTATCAAGTACTAGAGTTAGTTTAAAATTTATTATATAAAATCAAAAGTGAGCTTAAATTTAATTATGTAGCTTTATTTAATCAACACTTTTTCAAAATTGAAATGATTTCAATTAGTTTACAATATTTACACAGCTCAACCACTTTAGGAATAGCCTTAAACACAACCTGTTTTCTTTAATGAAAGAAAGGTATTTCAACACTTAAAAACATACAATATACGTTTAGATAAACTATTGAAACCTTATAACTTTAAAAGTATTAAAGAGTAAATAAAGTCATGTAATAAACTTGAGATTGTATTAAGATATATAACATCCCTTTACTTATACAAGTAGGTATTCCCTTAGATATCAATAACTGAAAAATATTTAACCACTAACCAAGCTCTGTTAGAAAATAAACCGGGAGTTATCTCCCCTAAACTTTCTCGAATATTCTTATATAAAACAACAGGGAATGAGAACTCGGGAAATAGACATGATTTTTAATCCATAATGTGCATAATAGTGCAGAATATTATTAGTAGGGCCTACTTTACAAATTTACATGCGTTTTTTAAGAAACCGGAAATAGCGTTAATTAGTACTTTTGTTCAACGGAAATTACTCAAAATTTGACAGAAGGTAGAGAATTAGATCTCTTACTTACATGTGAAATTTTATTTTTCTAACTCAAACAGTACTCAAGTTATAGGCTTTTGAAAAATTCAAAGTAGAAAAAGTACCACTTCTGGTTATCGTAAATCGCTCAAAAGTTGATACATATCTACAATTTTGATAAAATACTTATATATGAAATTTCATCAACCTAGCTGTAACGGTACTCAAGTTATCGTGTTTAAACACAGACACAAAGACAGACACACACAGACATACGGACTAGATTGCAAAAAAATGTTTTTCCGTATCAGTTAGGTGTAAAAGGTCGAAATTTGAAAAAATCTCGATTTTTTTTGCACGATTACAAGACTTTCTCTATAATTCGTATATACGCGAAAGTAAAAGTTAATGTTTTCATTAATAGTAAGTTCTTAAGCAAATATGGCATTACAAAGATATTACTAAAACTTATATTGTTACTGTTTATTTATCATATCTATATTTATTTTTATGATTGCTCTGGGAATGCAAATATATCTAATAATAATATTATAGGCTTATGTGTAATAAATAAAGAATAATTGACATAACATATAGCCAACCCTGCTTACAATTAAAATAAATAAATCTTATGTGAGCGGCTGGAGTGTATTTTTATTATTTGTAACTTAGAAGGCGAATGTATCGTTTCGTTTCATGTCGTAAATTGTTCGTATTTTTTTAGTCGTGTAGTCCCGTATTATGGCGCCGCTGTCTCACTGTTTATGTCCCTGGTTATAGCTAGTTTATATATATTTCGTTTATATTGTTGTCATTGTTTATAGTAAGTGTCTTTTTATAATATTCTGTTGCATGTTTCGTCGTGTTTGGTTTGTTATCCGTGAATTAGGGACTATTTGTTTACGTGTAGCGTGTGAGGTGTGTGGAAGTCGGTTTCCGGCTTGTTCAACTCTGTCTTTTGTGTGGAAAGCTGCGGTGAAGGGAGCAGGCAGTCTCTCTGGTCATCGGGTGAAAAGAATAGCAAATTCGCACCATCCAGCCATATTTATTTTGGGTTTTTTTGTTCGTCGTAGTCCTGGTAAGTTAGATATAAGTTTATTTCTTTACTATGTCTATTTTTTTGCTATGCTCTTTATTTTGGTTACTGGCCATAAGTTTTTTTGTGGTTGTCTTCTGACCGCCATTGTGGTCAGGCCATGTGGACTCAGATTCTGAGTTTTTATGGTCATTTTATTACTTTATTGTATCCCTTGGGCTGGTGTTAAGCCAGGGATAAAGGTAATTTTAGACTTGACCCGCAGCTATGGTTTACTCCTGGCTGTCGGGTTAAGTAATACGCACATTCTATTGATTGTATCCCTTGGGTTGGTGTTAAGCCAGGGATAAAGGTATTTTTAGACTTGACCCGCAGCTACGGTTTACTCCTGGCTGTTGGGTTAAGTAGTAGAGTTGTTGTTACCTGACCCACAGTCACGGTTCGTTCCGGACTGTCGGGTTTGGTTATATTTTTATCTTTATAGTGACCTTTCGCTTCCTGTGGTGATCATGTTGATCCCCAGGAGAGTGTTCGGTTCGTTCTAGTCACTGTGAAGGTACACTTGTTTTTAATAGATTTTATTTTACTTAGCCTTTTGTTAGGCTGGTAACTGTGTTGAGCTAGTAGTTTGAGCTCAGTGTCCTGGCAGTGTTCCAGTTTATTGTTAAAGTATATTCTGTGTGAACTACCTGCAGGCGGTGGAGATGTAATCCAGCCAGCCTGTGGTTAATGCTTTGTATATAACTTTTCTTTGTAAAGTAATTAATTTATTTGTTTTCCTTTTTCTAGGACGTAGTCCGAAATTGGGTGTTTTGTTTGATGTAAAAAGTTTGTTTCGTTTGGTTCTGTTTTGTGTCAGTTTTTTATCTATTCTTTTTTTATTACTTTTGGTTCCATATTTTGTTGAATAAATTTTATACTAGTCATTCTTGGTAAATAAATTTTATTAACTGTAAAAGTTTTTGTTTTATTTTAGTAGCTTATTATTTAGACTAAGGTGAGGGTTTAACCACTGTGGGTTCTACCACGGTTGCACTGACCGGACAGATTAGTTAGTTAAGCCTAGAAGGGTAGATTTTAGGTATCCCCCCCTAGCAGGGCTTACACTTATAATTCAGAGATAGAAGTATAATTTTTCTTAAGGTAAATAATATATTTATTATATTATTACTAGGCACTATCTAGGAAACTGAATTTATGATGTCTACACACGGAAGTAGGGGGGGGGGGGAGTAAAAAAGATCGACCTGCGGGGTTTGGTCAATGTGGAAGTCCGTAATTTAAATTTAATATCAAATTACCACCATTTAAAAAAAATGCATAGATGACGCAGGACGGAGGAGTGTAGACCGTTGGGGGTTTAGCTATTGTAGAGAAAGGACGTGTTGTATATTTTGTAGTGTAGTTCTAGCTTGCTTACTGTTAGTGGTTGTTCAGTTTTCAGCGTCTCAAAAATCATTAGCAACTACCCGACACCCACCAACTTCAAACAGCCGTTTAGCTGACTACGGGCAACTGCTGGCTAAATATAAAGACTATGTTAACATGTTAACTACGTACTACATATTTAGTGAAGGATAATTTTTGTTTGATTAAATTTATTAAGAATAAATCAAAGAATAATATTTCAATTTATCAAATAGAATAAGACCTAATTATTTTAAGGGGGTAGGCTCCAGAAAAAACCAACTTCTTAAGTAAAACCTTTTATTGATTCATTTGTGTATATCCAACTTAGGGTACTTGAAGGAAAATATTTCCATGCATCAGGGACTTTTTTGAAAATATGGTTGCCATGGCAACGGCGGCCATCTTGAAAAAAACATCATTTTCTGGAGTTCTAAAATTTCATAAACTAACATAAATATCGGCTATATAACCATTGATCCTTCTTGTACTAACGCTAATAGAGTCAGCTGGCTAGTTTTTGTAACAGAAATCACTCTAGAAATATTTTTTTTTAATTTTCAAAGTTTGGTGTGACGAAATTCCAATGAAAATAATGCTAAATTTAATGGAATTTCACCACATATTTTTTTGAAAATTTGAAAAAAATATTTCTAGCTGTTTTTTGGTTACAGAAATTAGCCAGCTGACTCTATTGGTGTTAGTACAATAAAGATCAATGATTATATGGGCGGTTTATATGTTACTTTAGGAAATTTTAGAACTCCACAAAAGGTAGTTTTTCCAAGATGGCCGCCGTTTCCATGGCAACCATATTTTCAGAAGAGTCCCTGGTACATCCAAATATTTTTCCTTAAGTACCCTAACTTATACATACACAAATAAATGAAAAAGGCGTATTACTTAAAAAGTTTTTTTCTCCGTTTTTTTCGGGAGCCTATCCCCTTAAAGTTGAGAGGTAATTTTTTTAATCAAATCAATTAAATTAATAGAACTATATAGAGATATAGAAATTACATACATTTAGCAACAGTTCGTTTTGGTCTATGTCAGTGACGTAGCGAGAAGGGGAGGGGGGCGGGGGGGGGGGGGGGGTGCGGACCGCACCGGGTGACACCATTTAGGGGGGTGAAACCGAGGCAAAAAATTGCAAAATATATAGAGAAAAATGATAATTTCACTTAATTAAGTGATTAATTCGAGTGTTAAATAGTCTTTTAAGAGGTGCAAATCGAGTTTGAGGGGAGAAAGGGGTGCATATCGAAAGTTTGAGGGGGGTACTAATCAAAAGGTTGAGGGGGGGAGGGGGTGCAAATCGTAAATTGAAAGTTTGTCCACGGAAAGGGTCGCTACGCCTCTGTGGGGGGGGGGGGGTAACACCATTAAGTGCCGCACCGGGTGACACCGACCTCGCTACACCACTGGTCTATATTGACACAGTGCTATTACTTGTATAATGTAAGTTCGGCAGTCTGCTGTTTTG